GGCCGTGCCGGTGGGAGGCCAAGAAGCTGCTGAGGTGCTGAGGGCACCGGTACGACGCCCGCTCGGCCGCGTGGACCTTCTGGTGCCGGTCCAGGTGGGAGGAGACGCTGAAACTCTTCCCGCACTCGGCGCAGGTGTAGGGACGTTCCCCGGTGTGGACGCGTTGGTGCCTCTCCAGGTCGGAGCGTTGGATGAAGCCCTTCCCACAGTCCCCACAGGCAAAGGGCCTCTCCCCGGTGTGGATGCGGCGGTGCTGGGTGAGGTTGGAGCCGCGGCTGAAACTCTTCCCGCAGTCCCCGCAGCGGTGGGGGCGGTCCCCGCTGCGGGCCGTGAGGTGGTTTGCCAAGGAGAAGCTCTTCCCGCAATCGGGGCAACGATGGGGAGACTCTGGGGTGGGAACCGAAGGTCGTGTTGGTTTGGTGGGTGGGCCCGGCCCACCCGTGTGGGTCCGACGGTGCCGGTCGAGGTGGGAAGAGACGCTGAAACTCTTCCCACAGTCCCCGCAGGGATAAGGTCTCTCCCCGGTGTGGACGCGCCGGTGCCGGGCCAGGTCGGAACGTTGGATGAAACCTTTCCCGCAGTCCCCGCAGCGATGGGGCCTCTCCCCGGTGTGGATGCGGCGGTGCTGGGCCAGGTTGGAGCCCCTGCTGAAACCCTTCCCGCAGTCCCCGCAACGATGGGGTTTGTCCCCGAGGCCGCCGGCCCCGCGGTCCCCGGGGCGGCGCCAGCGCCGCGGCCTGGTCGGGTTTTGGGGTCGGGTCCTGGTCCCGCACTCGGTGCAGCCGCCCCTGGGGGGTGGAGGGGGTGGTGGTGGCACCACCTTGGTCTTGGCACCGTCTTGACCTTCTTCTTGGGCCCCGGTTTTGGTGTCACCCGGCGACGTCTCCTCGTCCCGTGGTGTTGGGTCCTCTGTTCCAGCACCTGGGTGATGGTGAGAACCACCCATCAGTGTCCCCAAAACCAAGATACAAACCTTCACCCAACATGGGAACCATCATCTAAGTGGACTTCTGGAAGACCTGGTCCACCACCACCATGGCCTTGTCTCCAAGGTGGATTGAGGTGGTTGGTGGGTCATGGTCAACAGCTCCATGTCTGGATGGAGCCCAGGGACAGGGGGTGCCCCTCAGGGGTCCTTGCTGGGACCAACGTTGCTTCATCAGCCACATGAGCCACCACCACGTCCTTGACTCCAAGATGGGGAGAAACCAAGGAGGTGGGTGAGGAACCGGGTGGTTGGTGGGTTCTAGAAGGTCAAGGTCAACAGCTCAACATCTGGATGGAGCCCAGTGACAGGTCCACACAGGGACCAGTACTGGTCTGTGTCTTCATTGATGGCATGTGCCACCATCATCCCTTTGACATGGTCCTCTGCAGTGTTCTCAGAGCTCCCACCCCACCCAAACCCTTCTGTGATGTCATGGAAGGGACTTTGACCAACCAGACCTGGTTGGAGATGTCCCTACTCATGGTCTTCAAGGATCCCAGCCAACCCAAACCCTTCTGTGATGTCATGGAAGATTCTTTGACCAACCAGACCTGGTTGGAGATGTCCCTAATCATGGTGGAGATGGTCTTCAAGGATCCCACCCAACCCAAACCCTTCCGTGATGCCACAAATGGAGCTTTAACTTGGTTGAATATGTCCCTGCTTATAGACTAGATGGTCTCCAAAGGTCCCTTCCAACCCAAACCCTTCTGTGATGTCATGGAAGATTCTTTGACCAACCAGACCTGGTTGGAGATGTCCCCACTCATGGAGGAGATGTATTTCTAAGGTCCCACCCAACCCAAACCCTTCCATGATGCCAAAAATGGGGCTTTGACCAACCAGACCTGGTTGGAGATGTCCCTACTCATGGTGTAGATGGTCTTCAAGGATCCAACCCAAACCTTCTGTGATGTCATGGAAGATTCTTTGACCAACCAGACCTGGTTGGAGATGTCCCCACTCATGGTGTGGATGGTCTTCAAAGCTCCTAACTAACCCAAACCCTTCCGTGATGTCATGAACCAACTAGACCACTCATGCTTTGACCAACTTGACCCACTCATGGTGGAGATGGTCTTCAAGGATCCCACCCAACCCAAACCCTTCCATGATGCCATGGACGGGGCTTTGACCAACCAGACCTGATTGAAGATGCCCCCAAAGATCATTCAACTGGTCAACCCTACCCAACCCATCCCATAATTCCACCAAGAACCAGCCCCCCCAAGGCCCCAAACCTGCCCCCACCCCAAATCCCACGGGATGGTCCTCAAACCAGGAGGATCTCAGGGGGGTTCGGGGGAGGATTTTGACCCCAAATTTGGTGCTTTCCGGGAAATCTTCAGGGATTTTACCCCAAGTTTGGGGGGGGTCTCCAAAAAAATCCGGAGGGATTCTCCCACTTTTGGGGGTCCCCAAATCCCAAGGGATCCCCTCCCAACTTTGGGGGTTCCCCAACCCCCCCAAAATCCCCCCAATTTTGAGGTTGTTCCCCAAATCTCAAGAAATTCACCCAAATTTGGACCGTTCCTCAAAAGCCTTCAAGATTTCACCCAATTTTAGGGGTTCCCCCAATCCTAAGGGATTCCCCCAACTTTGGGGGGGTGTTCCCCAAATCCCAAGGGATCCCCCCAACTTTGGGGGGTTCCTCAACCCCCCAAGAACCCCCCCAATTTTGGGGTTATCCCCCAAATCTCAAGAAATTCACCCAAACTTGGACCGTTCCTCAAGAAACCTTCAAGAATTCACCCCATTTCAGGGGTTCCCCCAATCCCAACCCAGTCCCCCAACTTTGGGGGGATGTTCCCCAAATCCCGAGGGATCCCCCCAACTTTGGGGGTTCCCCAACCCCCCCAAAATCCCCCCAATTTTAGGGTTGTTCCCCAAATCTCAACAAATCCCCTTAAATTTGGACTGTTCCTCAAAAACCTTCAAGAATTCACCCAATTTCGGGGGTTCCCCCAATCCCAACCCAGTCCCCCAACTTTGGGGGGATGTTCCCCAAACCCCAAGGCATCCCCCCAACTTTGGGGGTTCCCCAACCCCCCAAAAATCCCCCCAATTTTGGGGTTGTTCCCCAAAACCCAACAAATCCCTCCCAACTTTTCATGGTTCCTCAAAAAACCTTCAAGAATTCACCCAATTTCGGGGGTTCCCCCAATCCCGAGTCCCCCCAACTTTGGGGGTTCCCCAACCCCCCAAAAATCCCCCCAATTTTGGGGTTGTTCCCCAAAACCCAACAAATCCCTCCCAACTTTTCATGGTTCCTCAAAAAACCTTCAAGAATTCACCC